TTGTGCCAACAGTGTCGTAGACAAGCAATTTCAGGACCGCACCTTTACCGTTGACATATGCCTTTACTCTAGGTACGAAAGCCCTCTCCCCAGAACCCAGGCTTCAGTGGTTGATCTGAAGACATTCTCAAAGGGACATCACTCGTCTCCAGCGACTCCATGGAATCCTCATGTCAGAGGAATCTTAAAACGAACAACCATGAATTGCAAAGCAAAATATTCACATTGTTCCTACGTATTAAAACTATAAATCTAAAATATATTAAAACATTTTTTTTTTACCAGGTAAGGCCCACTGAGCTATAAAACATTTTTTCAGAAGCGACTTAGTCACAAATGATAGCTCAGCGAAGTGGCTTATCACGTGGACATTTATAGCAACACTCTAAACGCACGTTTATACATGTGGAGGGAAACCCCTGTGAGATCCGTAGAAAAATCCACGCGACCACGGGGAGAGAGACATGCACACTGCAAATATTCAGGCATCAGGGTCGGAATCGGACCCACGAACATCTGTATACCAGGCGAGGTAACATGGCGCCCTCTTACTTGATCTCTTACTGGATGTATTATTCTCCTTTAGCCATTGACAAGTGTGGACTATGGGACTCTACTATACACCTCGACAAAGATGCACGTTTTGGTGTGTATTGATAATTTCTGCTGAGCACATGCGGTGCGTGGAGGTTGTCACAGTGACAAATATATAACGCAGTTACATTGAGCTATAATGCATGGGGTAACCAGATTTGAATGCTAGGGATGCTAAGGACGAATATATGTAAAAAAAATATGATGCTGTAATAGCTATATACATAATACTAGGTTGTGTACTGTATAATTTTATAAAGCAACGACGTCATAATTTTTTTCAATATTTACCCAGAAAATCACGAGTTTCGACACTTTTTTTTGCAGGAGCGTCTTGCTTGGCATGCTCATTTCTTTGCGTGTCTTTTGCGTGTGAGTGTAAATCTGAGGACCCGTACGAGGGGATGACACACAAAGGTCGCACAGGCGTGCCTGATGCCCCCTTGTTGTACTGCACGATTTCAGGCACATCCCACCAACATCCAAGACAATGGATTTGGCGTAATCCACCACACGATGGCCGAACATTCCTTTAATAGACGATGCCTATTATTGTGTTTGTAGTATTCCTGTGCATTATTCCTTTCTATTTATTAGTCATAGGCCTTTGTGTCTCGAGAGACAATTCTTTTTGCGCCTTACGAGGTCAGCTGTAGGTTTCGCAGCGCCTAGAACGACTTAGTAAGATGTGTTGTATAAAAAATATTATTAGTATGTTGGTGGTAAGAGGCCATTGTAGCAAAACACATTGTTGGACTCTACTTATATGCTCTCACATATATGCTCCGCGCATTCACCAACCCGTGCTGACATTCGTGGTGAAGTATGGTCAAAGCAACCACCACGAGACGCACGGCGCGGAGAGGCATTCATCCAGCGGTGGATTGACAAAAGGGCTGTGCATGTACGCGAATATATTTCATAAAGCATGGCAATACTGAAAAAATACAACAGGGGGCGCATCTTCATCAAACACTGTCGCTTGCCATGGCACTCGTGGAAAACTTTAGACTTGTTCCTCGATGTAAATGTTGCCAACGTTTGAGTATGGATGTTCAAAAACAGCTGTGTTATTCTGTCGTTAAAGCGTGGAATGTTGAATGGTTTTCTACACGCAGCTATTCTCTAGAGTAGCCGTGGGATTTAGACCAAAACGCGATGGACATTCAACGGACAATTTGGAATAATAGATAATTTAATTATTACGTGAGGATAAACATATTTGCATTCATTGGGCATTTAAGTTGCCCAGAATCTCAAAGTGCATGGCATCACAACATCATGTCAATAATTCCAATGCACAGATGCAGCTTTGTAGTTTTCATATTTTCCCTAGGGGACCTCCTGATGGCAGCAATGGCCTGCAAGTGGGCATTGGTCTGTCAGTAGGGGGCGTTGTTGTGTTTGCTATTCTGTCTGTTGTAATAAACTTGTGAGTAATTGTTAAAACGTGGCAAATTTGGACTGTGACGGAGGCATACAATGGCCTACTCTTTTTCAAAATGATAGCTAAGACCGTGTTATTTATTTTGCGATTTAAAGTCTTAGACTTACCGATTGCTTGAGATGCAATGTTCGATAAATCTACGTTATTTATTACTATGTATTAATGTGTTGTATAAAAATATTAATAATTTACAGCTCTCTCAGTCCACTGTTGGATGGTCTCCCCACACCCACTTCGTATCAGTCATTGGGGTTGGCTGACCATACTTCACCAACACTGAAATTGTATAACAACTAGCAGCCCGTTACATCCTTTGGGACGTGAGCGTCTGCCCATCCCTTCAGCCAGCCAGCCAGCAAAACTTTTTCTCACATAGTATGAAACTTCGTAAATAGTCGATATTTATAACAAATGTTTTGGTGACGATGCGTAAGCAGTGGTGTACAAGGACAATTGGCAAGAAAAGAAGTTGCCATTTCTCGAAATGCCGCCTGTTATTAACTTTTATTCCTCTTTAAGGCCACAGTGTGTTGATCTTTAAATATTTAGAATTGTTAACAGGAACACTGAATCGTCAGTGTGGAGTGGTGAAGGGAGGGGTGGAGGATGCCCAGGAGCGGTTTGGAAAACCCTCGCCACTGATGTTAGCCGTGGTCTGGAATCGAATAGATTTATAGCTGGTGCGCTAAGCGCTGTGCCACACCTCCCTGAGATGTACGGCGTGCACATCAATAGATCAGGATAACCTCTCCCATTCAAGTACAATGCACTTTTTTTTCTTTGGGATAGATTCAATTAAATAATGTGTAGAGTATGGCATATACACACTGCTACAAATATTTAACTAATACTCAGGGGGTAATTACATTACACTTTTATGAAAAGTAATTTTGGCTCTACTCGAAATATATTAACAAAATATTCATGTTTCCTACCTATACCCAGGGCCTGATTAAGGCCACGGGGCTTTTGGGGCTACAGCCCCAGGGCCGTCCGCCAGCTGGAGGGCCTCAAGAGATTAAGTGACAAGTTATTTCATTTGTGAATAGTGAATTGTATTTGTTGTTAGACTTGTAAAAGTAAAATTTATTTTTTATTTAACTTTGTTTTCCCTTTTTAAATATTACTGGGGCTCTCACAGTACCTGTAGATCAGGGGCCTACAAAATCTTAATCCGGCCCTGCTTATATCATAGACATGCACACACCACGCACGATTATTCATATGTAGGTAAGTATTTATATTTAATATCGGACGTAGATACCAACAAAGACAAATATATTTTGTCTCTGTTGGTACACACACACACGTTATGCGTTATGTTAAATGACGTGGCATTGTAACGTTGTCAACAGATAATTTAGACATTCTTGAAAATAGTCACAGAAAGCAGTTCGTAACATGACCCTAGTGCAGGGGTGGTGCGACCTGCGGCTCTTTAACGACCGCCGCTTCGTGACGTTACTTATTTTAGGACCACCGTCTCGTATTCGTCACGCGCATCGCGGCTCTTGAAATATTGAGTATTTTTTTACCGAATTCGAAAGCAATGCATCTTATTCTTTGGGTCTTTCGGTAAAGTCACGTAGATAGGTTCAAAAAAATAACATAAATGAATCTATCTTTGTGTGCAATGCTGTCCAGATGTCTCAGGATATGTGGGAGTATCCACACTTTATCCCAACCGTACGCGAGCTGCCCAGCGACTATGGTGTACCCAGAGGCGCAGCGAGAATTTAGGAAACTTTCCCACTGCGGTGCTGGGAGATCGAACCGACGACTTCTGAAGTTCACTGTGCAGACCATCACTTCACGGCAGCGTCCCTTGTGGAGGTACTTACTAAACGACGCAACTTAAGCACTAGAAATGTTTAGATTTGGGACTTTGGCCATCACACCTGCGTAAATGGCCTCCACTTAGGAAGGGTTATGTCACTGACTCTTGAACGTCTCCATTTATCGCACGTGACGCTCTTTGGTATGGTAATAACCCGTGGCTTGTGTGCGTGTCCCTCTAGAATGTCTGTCTCTCCTGGCAGAATGGCCGTACAGAACCCAGCTCATCATTCCTACCTGTGCCAATGACGCAAGTAGCACGTTCCAGGGAAGGAAACGTTGGTAGTCTGTCGAATGGACAGACTCGCCCTGCCACGAGAACGTGTCATTTTCACCAACGACCGTGAGCAGCCGACCGAGATAAAGACCACGAATACTCGTTTGAGCAAAAGGCAAAACTTTGAATATTTGACTTGAGATTCCCCTACGGAAGCGTACATAGACCGTTCGTGAGGGCATACGAAGGCACGCACGATGGGATGGCGTGGCCAGGACAACGCCCGACCGCCTTTGTCTCCTCCAGCGCCGACGTTTGCACCCTCATTGAAGCCGCTGTCGACCAAAGAGAGGACGTCCCGGGACCGGTTCGGATGTTCGCCACTGATGTTGGCCGTCGGAGGGAATCGAACTCGGGTCACTGCCCGATGTTCGGAGCACAGCGTGCTAACGACTGACACCACCCCCCTTGAGTGGTCGGTGTCGTGACTTGAGCGCAACGCGCTGACACACGCACGGCATGGCAAAGGTGCACCCAGAGAGGGGGCACTTACTGCCGTCTAATGAAATCTGGGTCTCGTTCGTTGGCACCGTTTGTGCTCCCGGTTCGCTTTAACATTTGCTCTTGGGATGCGCGTGCGCGCGCAAACGCACCTCTGGGTAAAGTCACTCACTTCGCAGACCTATTCACCAACCTAAGCTGCTGAGAAAACAACACCAAAGGGGAGAAATGTACAGAGAGAGAGAGAGAGGCCAGTGGCGTGTGCGATGTGGTGCCTGTCTGCGTGCGTGTGTGGGTGGGGTTGCGGGTTGGGGGGGGGGTGTTAGCACACTGCGGTGGCAGGGGAGGGACCTTTTGGAAGTATTTCGAAGAAAAAAGAGGAACGAGGGGGTGGGGGTGGAAAGAAACAAATCTTTTTACGACTTAAAAAAAAACCACAGCAGCCCCTGCTCATTTGTAGGAGTGCTTCTGGAGAGTGCGCCCCATGCAGTTTGCCGTGAGTGACAAACAACACGGACGCGTCTTTGGCCCCCATTGAGAGGAGCGAGCCAGAGACGCTCACTTTTTGTTTTGGTGCCGGAGTGGAGTGCACTTGTTGATGAATGAACGCGCGTGTGCGTGTGTGTGTGGGGGGTGGGTGGGTGCGTTAAGAGTAGTAACGTTTATTAACCGAACGGCTCAGCGTGACCGGGGTGTGTGGGTGTGTGGAGGGTTAACATCTCCGTGACTTGAACTACGGCCAAAGTCAGGCTCGAGCAGCGGCAAATAGCAGAAGCGGCGGCGGCGGCGGCGACACCTGGCACTCTCACGTTGAAGGCCGGTAAGGGATTCCTGTCCACCCATCGCTCACAAGCGGCGTTATTCTCATTAAGCCTCGCGGCGACACGAGAGACTACGGCCCGCGGGAGGCGAGGTGGTCGCTTTGATGACGCCAAGATCATTGAACAGTGCCTGTCGACATTTTTCAAGAAGTGGAGATGAAACCCTCCCGCATTATTTAAGAGTTTATCGCTGTTCAGCAGGGGGGGGGGGGGTTAATTGTTGGTATGAGTGCCGTACGAGAAAACGGCATTATGGTGCCTTGTTCGTGTTTCATGTGAGTCTTCATCAGTGAATTCATTTAGACGGCGATGTAATTATGTTACGTGGCAGGGAGACAAATATGAAGGAGACGTATCGCCCGCTTGTCGATTTGGTGTTGTAGGTTTATTAAGACATTAACTCGGTCGGCCTCGTGTCTCCAGAGGCGTCCTGAGCAGAGTTTGCGTGGTTGGGTGATGCTGTGGACAATTCTGGGAAGCTGTCACACTCGCTTCGTTGAGCGATGCCGGGGGGGGGAAAAAAAATAACGATTTTGCGGTACTTTCAAAAAGTTGTGTTGGTCTCACCAAAGTTTGGTGTCATGATTAATAACACTTGCCATGTATGCACTCACAACTAAATGTGCCGTTTTTTTTGCCGACCAATCGAACGCTATTTGTATCATTCAGTTATTGTGGTCAAGTGAGCTATCACTGTATGTTGTTGATTGTACATGGTGTCTGTGAGCCATATTCTCTATAGGCAAAGGACAACGATCCCTTCCTTGTATGATAGCCTTTAACTTGTTGTTTGGGGGAAGTGCTGTCAATGGGCACCTATGAAGGTCAGCACGGCACACGAGGGAGCGGTGTGTCCGGCCGCCGTTGTCTCCCCAGTTCTCATGTGTACACACCGCATCACGTATTGATTTAAGTCTGAGTCGACCCAGGGGAGGCCCGGGACTCTTACAAACGTTCGCCGCTCATTGGCCGTGAGCAGGAATCTAACTCGTAGCGTGGGTGCTACGCCTATCGATGCTCGAGACCAACCAATGCTCTCGAGTGAACTCGTGAGCATGCGCGTAGACACGTCGTGGGCCAGCCGCGCTCTGATTACAAACCCGCTTTAAACATGTCACAGATTAGTTTTACCGCGCAAGGGCAAGTTTCATTCGGATGTATCACGCGTGCCGAGGCTTCCATCCGCACCGATTATTTTTTTTCTTCGTAAAAACCTACCACGAGAAAACGTTTCTGGTGATGTACTTGTCGCAAGTGCCAATGAAATACTTCGCTGGCATTTAGCACGTGACGGTTTAAGTCTTTAAGACAAGCTTGTGATTATTTCATAACAGAAAAAAAGTTAATTAAATACCGGAAGACAATATTGGCATAGTAACAGAAGATCGCTTTTCTATTCCTACATCTCAACCGAGTCAAAGGCAAGACTACTGTTGAGTACACTCGTTTTGCTTCATCAATACACAAGTATTGTTGAGTAAATGACCGGCATACCGTATGCCATGCACAATTAAACTGTGTAGAAGAATGCGCCTTGAAACGATTAACATTGTACGCGGTTATGTACAATGAATATAAGAGATGTCATTCGTGCGGTGTGGCCAGCCTGCTCGTGACAGTCGACTGTAGCAGGAAAGCGTGGCTATATGACCATCATTGCCACTCGGCATGACAAATTATTTATTTTGACTGTTTGGCCCAGAAGTGAAGTCTACGCCCAGCGTACCTCTGAAAAAATAAACTCAACGCATTCGTCAATAACAATTTGTGGACTTAAAAGATAAAAAAACCAACCATAAATTGGTGACAGTTTGAAAATACAGTTGGATACAAATATCCAGTAAGGATTTGGCCAAGTAATGCCAAACTTAAAAATGGTCTTGAGATTCGTTGGGCCAATGAGCATGTAGTGGAAATTCCACCTTTCTATGGTAAGTCCAGTCTCTCCACAGGACAACCAGTGTTGACTTGTCACAAAGTGAGCTTTATTTTATCAACTCATGAAGGGGTGTGTGTTGAGTCAACCAGCGACTGGGATGTGAACTCGTTAATTGCCTCTTGTGAATGGAATGCTCTGACCACGTTGCCAATGAGGTGGATATAATTTGGTATGATTTACAGCCCTTTGTCAAGCCACAGTTGGATGAATGCCTTCCCATTGCGTGTTGTTTGGGGTTGTTTGACCATACTTCACCGCACTGGTCAGTGCGGGTTGGCCAGGGGTGGGAACGGTGCAGGATCAGTTTAGATATCGCTTGCCGCTGTTGTTGGCCGTTGCCAAGAATCAAAATCGAACTGCTGGGGTCACAGCACGGTGCGATAACTACTGCGCAATCCGCTGCACCCATATTTAGCAGCCATGATTCCGTAGCCATGGATGAATGCGTAAATATGTTTGCACGAACACTGCGTCTTTGTCACGGATCCTGCTATGTTCGCAGCCACCGAGGATTTGGATGGAGCAGAGCAAGGTCAAAATCACCGTCGTGGTGGGTCACGAGGAGAAGCTGGTCTCCGGCCTCACCAAGCGCACCACCTGCGAGGATGTGACCAGGGCCCTGCTCCGGGAGAGCGCGCGCACTCCCCAACGCCCCGCCAAGCCGTCGGGCGGCCCCCACGGCGCCTACTGCATCGTGGAGCGATGGCGCGGCATGGATCGAGTCCTCCCGCCCAAGACCAAGCTGCTGCGCCTCTGGACGGCTTGGGCCAGCGAGCAGGAGAATGTCCACTTCTCGCTGCGCAGGGCTGGCCGCCACCAGGGTGTGGGATCGTCCGCGCCCCGGACCGCCGAGGCCAAGGTGGTGAAGAGCAAGGAGGGACAGCAGCAGCAGCAGCAGCAGCGGCAGTCGGGGCACGCGGAGGACGGCGAGGCCGACAGCGGCTTGCAGGAGAAGCAGAGGCGCATGGTGCGTAAGGCATTCCGCAAGCTCGCCAGGATGAACCGCAAGCGCACGCAGGCGGCCGCCGCCGACCGGGAACCGTCGCCCGTGCAGAGGCTGGAGACGCTGGTGAGGGTGGTGCTGTCGCAGGACCAGACGATCCGCGAGCAGGAGGAGTGCATCCGAGCCATGGACGAGGAGATCGAGAGGCGTGAGGCCAAGATCCACATGGACCGGTGCGAGCGCGAGGGGGCCAACTACGTGCAGGACGCGTACCTGCGGGGCGTCGAGACGGAGCAGACGGGGAGGCTGTCGCAGGGCGGCTCAGAGGGCGTCGGCGAGGCGTCCTCCCGCGAGCAAGCCGTGAAATGCGAGGCGATCGCGCATCTGCAAGATCAGCTGCTCTATTACGAGGAGCTCGCCGCGAGGCTGCACTTGGAAATCCTGGAGGAGCAGGGCGGCGGGGCCCGGATCAAGGGTTGTGACAATGTGGCGTGCGCCGAACCTGCTCGGCCCCACGAGACCGCCGCTCTCACGAGCGACGGGCAAAGCACCACCACCCACGGCGCCGCGGACCGTTGCCGGGCCAAAGCCGACCTGCTCACCGGGGCGGAACTAACAGATTCTCTGTTGGAGGAAAGCGTGAAGAGAAGCGGGGTTATTCAAGCGGAGATGAGCTCCGTGCAACGCGATTTGCACAGATGTCAGGCCACGTTGCAGTGCCGGGCGAGAGAATGCGATCACCTCTCGAGCCTGCTGTCCACGATGCACGTACAAGAGAAAGAGGAGCTCTCAATTGTCGACGCACGCGACGAGCACAGCGCAGCCCAGGCGCACGTTGCCACGCCGAACTTCGCCGGGGATCTGTTCACTGCCTCGCCGTGCCTATCGATAGAGACGAAGGGCGAGGCGAATGATAATGACTCGGACACCGGGCTGAGCTCCATGCACAGCCAGGACTCTGACACTGTCCTCTACATGGAGTCTCTTGTGTAGGGATTCCTGCGTTTTGTATTTAATAATAATAATAATGATGTCCACGTGAAAGGAAAAAAAAAACTTTTGTTTTTTTTTAAATCGTTTTTGTACAACCTTTTCGCAAATGATGGCACTTTATTGTCGCGTCAAACAAGGCACACTTTGGGGGGGGGGGGGGTCTGTTGTACGGTATTTAAAGAAAACGCAACACGGCTTTTCGCTACGTATAAACGAGACGCTAAACGTTACATTGCAACAGGCTCTAGCAGCACAAGTATTGTGACGAGTGAGTGACAATTATAGTACTTAAATGCTGGATTGAATGGATCACCGATTATCACTTGAGAATGAGGACAGCATGGCTTATATGCTGTCTCTAGCATGCATTTGCCAATCGACAATACGTACCTAATAAAAAAAAAACCCTGTAGATTCAAACATATAATATAGTATTGCTAGAACAAAGACAAAATAGTAAGCTGAACAGAAAGTGACTGCTGAATCTGTTTCACGTTATTATTGCTAATGCTTAAGACAGAGGCCATGTATTGTTACTTATGGCTGAATAAAATACAACTGAGCACATTTCACAGCGGTAGCTGTCGCGAAAATGCCAAACCTGGCTCACTCGGTGCTGCCAATGTAAATTGAGACTATTTCTGCTTGCAGTTGGGCACAATACCTAGAGAATAGCAAACTTGGGTTCCATAACAAACAGGAACGTGATCGTGTAAAGTTGTAATTTCCTCCCAGCTATATTTAACAAAAAAATAACTGACAATGATAATAAAATAATTATTCAATGCAACAAACATGCAGATTTTATTGTGGATTTTATTCACAAACTCACAGTCATTCCTTGTACACCATATGGTGCCGCAGGGGCAAGATGTTAACTACCTCGCCTGGTATACAGGAGGTCATCGGTTCCATCCCAACCCTGACGCCTGTATAGTTGGATTTTGCTTGTTCTGTGGTTGTGTGGATTTCTATCTGGGTCCTCCGGTTTTTGCCTCCATCTTTAGACACGTATGTTTAGAGTATTTGGCTGCTATAAATGTCCACATGATAAGCCACTTCGTTGAGCTATAATTTGTGGCTAGGTTGCTTCTGAAAAAGAGCTATACAGCTCAGTGGGCCTTACCTGGTAAAATATAAAGTTTATACTCTTTGGTTCTTTCGGTAAAGTCACGTAGGTATAAAATAAAAACAAAAAATCACGACGTTTCGGGCGCAACACAAGCGTCCATCATCAGGTGGGACAACCACAGCAAGATGCAACTGCTGAAGTTGTTTCTAGGCTGTGACTTTACCGAAAGCACCAAAGAGTATGGATCCCTGCAGTCACGAAAACTTCAAATCTAGATATAAAGTTTAGTTTTATAGTTTTATATTCAACTGTACAATGCTTAACGAGCTCTAAAACTAAAATGGCCTGGTGCCATCACTCTATATATTGTACCACAGTAAGTGCAAGCAAAGCAAATAGGTGTATATGCTTTGCACTGCAGGCTACAAAGCATGCGTTTTCTCCATGGTCTCTAATTCATTTCCAAATGCAAAACATTTTTACACCCCAATCCTACCCCTCCTGTAACACAAAGAGAGTATTTAAACACAGTGAAGCTTTTCTGGGGGTAAATATTTTAAACTTTTTAATGTTTTTTTTAATGAACACTGGACAGGGATAGTCAAACGTTATTTTGTCCCAGCTCAAATTGGCAATGCAAGTGGTGAAAGTGCATTTACAGTTGTACACAAGTGCAGGTGATTTGGCCGACAGAATCTGTTCAATTCAAATTAAAGCAGTGAGCCACTGTGTTTCAAATGCTCATTCGCGTTGACAAGCCGAAGCGTAAAGTGATTTGGGGGGGTGTTAGACGGGCGTCGTTCTTCAACTCCTGCCTGTGCAGTGCCACACTTGCGATCCAAACACCAAGCTGGCATCGAAACGCAGAATAAGTCACCGCTTGCAAACTCCTCACCTCTACAATATCAGCCGATGAGAAATCCAACGCGCGGATCAGAGCCACAGTTGCACAGCTCAACAAAAATGAAAAAAAAACCTCGATATCACGTGGAAAGATAAAGATTTCAACAAGAAACACGACAATTTCACTTTATTGGTGCATTTGTCAAGTCCACTTTTATGGCTCCAAGTCATGAACAAAATGACAATATATTCTGTGTTTGAAAAAAAGCAGTGTAGGCGGCTGCCCTGCATCCACCACACCACCCACAAAGCCAATGATGACGTCCACGATAGAGAGACACAAACAGGAGCCTGTGAAAGCATATTCATCGCAAAGTCAGTTTTAGTGGCTCGGTTATGTCAACAGTGGCAGTCAATGAATAAAACGCGGTTCGAGAGGTCGCTTTAAATAAATAAGCAGATTGCTTCAGAGCATTTCAGGATCGTGAGATATGACGGTGGCTTGAGGAGGCATTCATCCAGCAGTGGATTGACCATGTCCGATGATGAGGGTTATCGCAACAGGTAATCGATCTGCTTTAGCCGACACAAATCTTGCAAGGAACAGTTTGTGGTTAATGAAAGGCAAATCATTAATATGTTGGGCGGAGAACGTTAGCACGTGTATTATGTGAAACCACAACTATTTATAGTCGCTAAAAAACTGGAGGAAGATGGCTGGAGAGATAACAAATAATGTCCCTAAGACCTGCTGCTTACATCATTTATACGTGTTATATGTGTTATTCGAAAGATAATACAGTACATGCAATTGACTCACTATTCAAAGATATTACATTCATCAACATACTACTTTGAATGAAGACAAAATAGTAAAAATAATGAATACATGGGAAAAGATCACAACTTAGATTTCAACAATGCAGAGCATTTGCTTATTTTATTGGGCACTTCACGTTCACATGGCTGCTTAATAAAAAACAATAAAGTAAATTATTGAATATAGATTGACGACATCGACAGACTTGGCAGAAAGCCATGCGGTGTTAACCAGAGGGAGGTAATTAAAACACTGCTGTGAATAGTTAACATGGTTCAGACATTAACCAGGGTGGGTGTGACAGGTGGGACATTCCGATCTATCGATCAAATTCACTTATTAAGGCACATTTTACTTTGAGTAAATAAAAGACACATTGTTGAGTGCTCACGAACATTAAAAGCAATGGTGGACGGGTCACATATAAATGTTGCAGATGTTTAGAGCAAATTCATGCATTTGGATGGAAGAAGAGAAAGTCTTTTTATGATCTTTAAGTGTGAAGGTTGAGTGTTATCTCCTCTTTCACATGTTTGGGTTTGCTTAAGGAAATCCAGTTTCTTGCGCACATGGGAATTGGTCAAACATTTAAAGACTTTCTAGAAAATTAATTTCTAGAAAATATTCATGCCTTCAGGTTATTATTAATACGATGATGACGTTGGTAGATATAAAATTTGTGACGTATTTAAAATAACCTTTTGTTCTAAATTAAGTAAAATAAATCCCTGTATGGTATATTTAGTGGTGATATCCATGTAATAATTATATTACGTAAATTTACTCCAACAAAAATGTGATGTAAATTATGATTATTTTCCCTGTAATTATCTTTGCCCTCTATTTCAATATGCTGAAGTGCAACTCTCCCTCTGAGATAGAAAATGTTGCGTTTTTTCATCTCACCTCAATGAGACCAACTAATGTCCCAATATACAACGATCTCAATTATTCTCCCAAGCAAGCTCACAGGGTTGTACGTAGCCATGGTCAAACCAAGAAAGTGGCCTGGTGTTTATTTTACCCAGTGATTCTTAACATCCCTTTCTCCTTTAGGGTGCCATGGTGGCGAGATGTTAACTGTGTCGCCCGGTATACAGGAGGTCCTGAGGTCGATACTGGCCCTGACGCCTGCTGTATATTTGGAGTTTGCATGTTCTCCCCCGTGGTTGCTTGGATTTTTCTCTGGGTCCTTCGGCTTTCCCCTCCACATTTAGAAACATGCATTGAGAGTATTTGGCTGCTATAAATGTCCACATGCTGAGCCACTTCGTTGAACTATCATTTGTGGCCAGGTCGCTTCTAAAAAAAAAACAGCTATATATGTAGCTCAGTGGGCCTTACCTGGTAACATAAAAATACTTTAGTTTTAGTGCCTTTAACAACCTTGTGTTTCTTGAACCCACAGTTGCAGGTGGCTGAGGACTGGAGTTTCGGTTTGCACGACCAGCTGAGGGAATGCCACGTGGCCATGCTTCACTTAGCCAGTGTGGGTCAGTGAATACAATATATACCCCGCCGGGCGTGGGGAGAGCCGCAACGGAAAGGCGACCCCCGACCTCTCGGTGGTTGAGCCGAGCTCACGTTCACACGGCCGCAACGGAAAGGCTCCTCTGCCACTTGCCACATGGAGTATACATGCTGTGGTAAAAGCGACATTTATTATCAAATATCATTACACACGGCCTTTGTGTGCTATAAAAATGTCCAAGATCTCAGAACAACTGCAATGGGGTCTTTTTTTTTTCTGTCGCAAGTAAAACAGATACATGAGTCGGACAAGTGACGTGATTTTGCCACAGTTATTCACAGCGACGTTATTAAAATGTTTTTTTTTTGTAATGACATGACCACTCAAACGTCGCACGCAAAGATCGCGACGTTAAAATAAGGAGAAACCAAGCCGAAAACAGAAGAAGAGAAAATATTCAACATCTAATATTTGCTGACGACACAGTCCTGACACCAACCAATGGAAATGAATAACAGGAAGTGATTGAATAATTCAATAAAAAAAAGTCTGCTGAGGTGGGTTCGAGTTAAATATGAAGGAACAAGAAAGTCAAGTGCAACTATTTCACTACGAGAGGGATACAACTGATAAACACAGCAGTGTATCTTTATGTGTGAAGTGGGATCAAAATGAAGGAATAAATAGGTGTATAAAGAGGTGTTGTAGAGAAGATTGGAGTGCTTTTGGGAAACTGAACTTCATGATGCAAAATAGTACACGGGGTTCCCTCGCTTTAGTCGGTACATGTCTTCCAAAAAAAGAGTCCGCACAAAAAGCGAAATCACTTGGCATGGACCACACAGTCACCTGACCCACAGTGCATCGTACGAGGAGACAGCTGTATGCCGAGTAACACGCACAGTACACACGACACAATGTTGTCCCACGTCCGATCACGTAGCAGCATGTAGAGTGAATTCAAGCCTGCAGAGAGCGAATTTTTGGTAGCAAAAGGCTAGCTGCGTATGCGGTGCGAAGTCATACAAACCGGACCCGCATAAAGCGAGGGAAGCCTCTACCATTATTTTTCCAAATAAATAATGACTTAATGAGTACATGTCACCTGCTATGACATGGCTCATCAACATGGACATTGATTTACAAATTCAACGAAAGCTAAATAGTGTGCAGAGATGCATTGGGAGGTTCATGCTTGGAAAGACACTGAGAGGGACAGAAAAAGCAACACGTGGGTCAGAGTAAATATTTTGTTAAATCACACTCAGAATCAGAATCTTTATTTATCCTGGAGAAATTGGATGAGCTGTGAAGCTCCTTTTCACAGATGTTCCAGTAGGGGCGGATCAGAAGGTTGCAGCAACACACGATAGGACATCAAACTATAGTAAAGGTAAATAATAAAGACGTGTGTGTGGGCTTGAGAAGAATACATAGCTAGGAGGCAACACGACCTAGAGGACGTGCACCATGGAGATGGAGTGACGAAATAAGCTCTTGCGCAGGGCCTAGATAGATTGTCCTATAGCAAGAAATGTGATAGATGACAACGGCGTGGAGCCATAGTCCAGCAGTGGATCGATC